TACGACCACTAAAAGTCTGACCCCAAAAATTTTTAGTTTACTGATTTTAGGGTGATTTATTACCCTTACAGAACTTAGACTTATGGTTATGTACCCTTTGTTTTGTGATGATTGCACAGTTTCAACAGTCTCGTAGCGCATCCTATAACCTTCTTGGGCATATACTGCAATAAGGTCATTTAAATCTCATTTATTTCGCTGAGCATTGTATACGACCTTAAGTTGATAGAACTGGCTAGGAAGTCTATTTAAATCATGATAGACTAGAAAGGTTCGACAATAGGAATGTCAAGAGCCTTCAATTAAAATGATATATTTATCATTTTCATAACGTGTTTTCTAACACCGCGTGTACCATCATATCTCATATTCATTAATTTATCCATGAGATCTCTAGTTTCGACTTTATCATGCTCAATGAATTTCTCTTCGATGGCATCCATAAAACCTTTTGCATTTTCATTGTCTGGGATAGCATCCATAATAAAATCGGATATAGAGCGCTTAATTATTTTCAAACAAAGTTTATTGGTCCTTTCCCACTTTTCATACTTGGCTACATTTTCAACAGTGCTCTTTTCTGTAGGTTTCTCAAGCTCTTTTTCTATTGCAAAATCCAAGCATAAAAGACTATTTCTATATCTCGTTTCCATCTCACATTATTATTCCCAGTCAAGATTTCAATAGCAGGCAATTGAATCGAAAGAGACGAGACATTATAAACTATGGAAACATAAAATATCATATTCAATATCATCCAAATATAATGCATGCAATCAATGGATGATAAAATATCTATTTAATTAATATGGGCTATTAATTAGATAATCCATAATTAGAATCAAAATTATATGAATGTTATTACAGTAAAAGCCTAAATGCATCATCATAAATTTACTTTTGGGTCAACGATACAATATGCTATAAGGTACTTTTCAAACACACCATGTATCTAAATAACAAAATCCTATTGGTTTTTGAAATTCCAACACCATTGGGCATAAGGAAATTTATAGACCAAAGTAAACTCGTTAACCGCCTTATAACATTTTATAAAACGTCAAATATAATAACGCCTTTGGCAAGATACTATATGCAATAATTCAAAATTGGAAATTTTTTTTAGTAGAGAAAAATAGAGTAAATAACAATGCGTATGCCAGTTTGACAGCTACTACCCATTTTTATTTCAAAATAATTCTCTTAGTGGGAAAATAAAGATTCTCTCAAAGCCCATGAAAAAATTCAATCATAGAACAATAATTATGCAACCTATCATAATTCTCAATCGATGAAAGACAAAAATTCATATGTGATTGAGAGGTGAAATTGGTAACAAAATTTCAATATATATGAAAAATAATTTAAGCGCACAAATATATCGACATTTAAATACAAAAACATTTTGACAATAATATAAAAGTCGTTTATTATTATTATTATTATTATTATTATTATTATTATTATTATTATTATTATTATTATTATCATCATCGAGTCAATTTTAAATAAAATTTTAATTGGGTCAAAACTTTAAAAGTTCAAATTAAAAGCCCTTTTTTGAAGATCACATCTTAACCCTAAATTTAAAATTAAAAGTAGGTCCTCCAAATTCTCAAATTACAAGCAAGCCCTCCTTTTAAATAATTGCAACATGACCCCGATCTCATAATTGTAGATAGGGGCCTATCATCTCATAAATTGCGAGAGAGGACCCCGTTCCCAACACATAATATAACGGGCTGAATTAAAATGAACACTAAAATCCATCATACTCTCTTTTCAGCCAGCGTCGATGCCTATTAATTTTCGCTGCCGGCGCCCCCGTTCCAGTAAGAGTGTTGTAAAGCCATGTATTTTATCTATCAACAGCAAAGAGTAGGAGGTGGGTGTGGCAATTGCCTGAGGTAACAAAAACAGATTATATATACAAAAGGAAATGCATGTCTGTATGCATAACTTGGTTACTGAAGTTTCAAGGTCACGTGTTCCAGCTATGCATATCTCTCTCTGTATATATTTATTGGGCAGTCGACAGTGGTATAATTTTATAATTCAAAGATAGGAATTGAAAAATAAAGCTATTTTATTAAGGATTCTAATATTAGAATGAATGCTCTGATATCAATTGTTTAATTTATTTGTAATTATACTAGGAATCAAGAATTACAAAATAATAAATTGATAAATCGAATTCATCTACGGAAGCTATTGTTGATATGAATAATAGCAACTAGATCTTCCTCTCCTTACTTCTCACAAAGTATTAGTCGTCTATGGGGTCAAGCTAACAAAACACTATGGAGAGAAGAGGTGACCTAACTTTTATATAGGAAATTATTGAGTCGTCCCATTACGACTGAAACTTTAATAAGGGTTTTCATATATTTTCGGTTCACATACTTAAAATTACCACACCATATCAAATATAGTCCGTAAGGTATAAAAGACTAAATTGATCACTTAATAAATTTAGCTCAATTACAAGTATCATTATGAGTCATATACATCTAATCCGTAAATTTTATAATCGAATGTGAAGCTCATGTTCGTAATTATTCCAACACAACTTTGATGAGTTATTGAGTATTTATAACATATTATATTTCATTTGCAAAAGATGCACTTTTGAGAATGGAAACTTTCGATCTATGGATATCGAAATTTATCATCTAATGTTTGGTCCATAAAAATGAAACATGTCATGACTATTGACTTTATGGTATGAGGCCATCTGATTACTAGTTTAGCAATGAATCTTGTCTCAATTGATAAATCGTTGAGTATTTTATGCATTATTTTTCCATACAAGAGATACAATAGCTAGAATGGTGGCTAGGGTAACGAGACTTGCTTGATTATTGACTTAGTTAATGTATTGGGTCGATGAGTGACTAGTTTAACATTTATTTCTTAGCTCAACTTTGATGAGTTATTGAGTATTTCTAACGTATTATTTTCTCGTGCAAAAGACTGGTTGGAGAATGGCAGTTTTGGATTGAAATTTATCATCTATCTTGTGGACCCATGAGACCTACTATGACTATTGACACATTTAATGCAACGCGTCATTGAGTTGCTCTTACATAGTTTTTTTACGCAAAAGATACATTAGCTAGAATGATGTTTATACTTATGAGACTTGTTCCACTGTTGACCTAGTTAAGGTATTTGGTCAAAAGTTAATTCACATCTCTCTTTCTTTTGTTTTGAGATTAGGAATATGGATTGAATATAATGAAATGAAGCTACTTTGAAATTCCATTTAAAATGAGATATGGAAGGAAGTCACTAAGAAGAAGTTAAGGGAGTTATGAAGGAAGTTTCTAGCTCATATTGATCACGGGTTGATGGTGGAAATTGGACTCAATGAGAACTAGTCTCCCATTACTTCTTAGTTTAACATGCATTTCTTCGTACAACATCGATAAGTCATTGAGTTATTATTTTCTCATGCAACGGATACAATTTCTATAATGATGGCTATAGGTCTATGGATTCTAGAACTAATCATCTATTGTTTGGACCATAATAATGAGACCTAACATGACTATTGACCTAGTTAAGGTATCGAATCCTTGAGTTTCAAGTTCAACAATGAAGTCTTGATTTTTATTATTTTATTTTTTTATTATTAGTATTATTTTTTTTTTGGCTCTCGCTTTTTCGTATTGAAGAAGTCGATTCGATTGATGGGTCGTTAAGTATTTGTGCTATTTTTTTTTATTTTTTTTTCCGTGCAAAAGATGTATTAGATAGAATGATTGCTATAGAATTATGATTATAGATATTTATTGTCGATAGTTTGGACAATGGTATTAAGACATCAACCCCGAATACTCAATGAAGTGTTGAGTCAATGGGTTGTTAGTCCAACGATGTATTCATGTTTATCTCAAGTCACAAGCAGATTCAAGAAAAATCTTTTGAAAACGAGTCTCCCTTACTTAAATGTAATCATTGTTTGCTTATTATTTGTAATTTATTTATAAGCAATCAAATTACTTCTTATTCACATATTTTATGAACATAAAATTATATATTGACATTGTTCTTTTTTGAGTGGGGAGCGAAAAGGATGGGGTGAGACCATAACCTTCGAACTTTTGATCTTGATTGTAGAAACAAAACCCCTAAACCAACTAAACAAGGTAGATTGGTGTCATAATTGACCAAGTATAAAACATCACAATGATAACTAGAGAAACAGTCTAATATACTGATATTGATTAAGCTCCTGTTTGATTTAAATAAAAATTAAATGTTTAGTAAATTTTGATAAAAATTGATGAAATGTGCAGTTAAAAAAATTTATGTATCCCATTAATGTGTGATTGAAAATAGAGATGAAACATGGGTTAACAATTCACACGGCATTAAGGATCCAAATTTGGAGTCCAATCTTGATTTTAAACCTCTTAAGTTGGTCCTCAGTATTTAAAAATAACCTAATTGTCCAGTAGTCTTTCATTAAAATTGCATAATCAGTCTCCAAGAAGGGGCCATCGAAAATTCTTTCTTCTTTTACTCCAAAAAAACAAAATAATAATAATAATTATTATATTGAAGTAAAAGAATAATCGTTTTTCACTCGTCAATGAGCAACTTGGATGCAAAAAATGCAGAACGAGAACAATACCATAAATTTTCATCTTTTGACTTGCTCATTTTAAAACATTGAGGACCGATTGCTATCGTGAAATTGGAGACCAGTGTTCTAAAAAACGACAAAATGATTAAAATATTGAAGACCAACTTGCCCTATTGCTACCGTGAAATTGAGAGAGGCTGATCAATGCAATTTTTCATTCTGATTTTTATTCTTATCTTATTTTTAAAAATGAAAATAAAACCTAGCGTGATTGTGTGACTTGCTTACGTGGACCTAAAGGCACCAATCATTTGCAAACACGTATCAACATACGCGTTGGACCCAATCAAAATGTACGTGGAACGGACTCTGTCAATTTCATCTCTCTCAGTCTAATATATAAATAAATAAATACCCTCAAAATAGATAATTTTCCAAATACTAAAAAGAAACAAAGAGATCGGTGTACATTGCTTTGCCCGAGCTAGATCGCCGTTAATATCTCCGGTTGCTTTTGTTCGGACCTTCTAACAGATTACCGATCTCCCCATAACCATGGTGAAAATCTGATCTTGATTCTCTTTTGTATTTGATTGGTGTTTTTATTGTATGATGTTGTGATTTCGGTTTCGATTTATATGCCTAATTTGTGTTTAACTTGTACGATTAGAAAATCTGATTTTTTTT